TGTAGATCGATCAACACCAAATCTTTTTGCAATTTCTGTATATGTAAAAGGCTCGTCAGGCTCTAAGGCATTAATAGCTGCAATTGCAGCCTCAATATTGCTCATGGTGGTGGAGATACAAGGTGTTGAAGTTGTGGTAGTTGCAAGGCCGCGTGTGCGCGAGGTGGTGGTGTGCGCGAGGTGGTGGGGCACGGTAGCCCTTCTTGGCCTTTCTTAGTATTTCATCTGCCGTGATTTTGCGGGGTCAGCATATGGACACGGGCTAATAGCGTCGCATTTCAAGTCAAGATGCAAGCGAGTATGCAGATCAACGGCAAGGATAGTGCTCATCTCTCCCATTACGTACAAACTGAGTGCATTCATGTCACCCAATGCATTCATTCCAGTGAGCTCATCAGCATTAATAGCCCTGTACACAAATAAGTCATGCATACTGCCAGTGCGGCGCAATGCACTAGATAACCAATCAGGACTCAAGACACGGGCTGTTGCGACTAGAGAAGGAGTTCTGCGAACACTGACAATGTATATGGTATACAAAAACATCCTTGTGTAACCTTATCTATCTCTGCAGCGGCTATAGTAGCTCTGAGAACAGACCTTCACGGCGATCTTGGCCTGGACATATTCAGTCGGGTACTTGAACCCAATTTCCATCTTTGCTTATCCACTTCGTTAAGATATGTGCTTCATCTGCACAATGAGCACCTCTTTTCCTACAGTCTTCGCAAACATCCCAATCTCCATTGGAGCAATAGTTGCAGTGGTAGTGGAAGTCAACCACACTTACGACCGATGTACAGACGTTGCATTCAACAGATCCCGCATCATCACCATGATCAGGCAACCCTACTTCCTCGAGACTAGTCAGTCCACACTCTTTCGATAGGAATTCCAGCACTGCATGATGACCTTTCTTCGTAGCAATCCAGAATGGCGAGCGCCCAAACTTATCCGTGATCCGAGGGTCGTGATGGTACTTGCTAACAAGGACTTTGATAATATGAGACTGGCCGCCGGCTGCAGCCCACCAGAGTGGAGTCCGGTTGTACGGATCTTGGAGCTGCGTGATATCGAGTTTCGAGAGCAGAAGTTCCAGCGTTGGATATTCACCCAAATATGCAGCTGCATGTAGCGCGTTACCATGGAATACACTCTGGGCGATGACGTCGGCGCCCGCATCGAGCAATATCTCAACTATCTGCTTGTGGCCTTTTATTGAAGCTTCGTATAGCGCGCTGTCGTAGGGTTTACATTGGGCGTTAACATCGGCACCTTTATTGAGCAGTATTCTGACTATACGCTCGTGGCCTTCTGTTGAAGCTGCTTGTAGCGCGTTGCTATGGAATGTACTCTGCGCGTTAATGTCGGCGCCCGCATTGAGTAATATCTTGACTATCTGCTCGTAACCTCTTACTGAGGCTTCGTATAGCGCGCTATTATACTGGCTACCCTGGACGTCAATTTTGGCGCCCGCGTTAAGGAGTATCTTGACTACCTCCTCGTAGCCTCCTACTACAGCTGCGTATAGCGCGCCGCCGTAGTAGCTACCCTGGGCGTTGACGTCGGCACCCGCATTGAGGAGCATCTTCACAACCCCTTTCAAGCCAAACCGGCTTGCATAATACAATGGTAGTGGCATTGATTGTGGGCTCCTATGGAAGTCGGAGCCCCCCCCATAGCTTCTCTGGACTGTGAATTCGAAGCCAGTTCACATACGCATCGTTCTTTTCTGAAAGTAGGACTCTCGCCTCTTGAGAGCACCATTCTGTCTGCTCGTTCGTCATTTGAACATGCTTTATCCAGAATGTGGCTGAATAATCTGCTAGCCTGAATTCTTTTGCATTGTCGTGGCTGAGCATCTTGGCTCCTTGGAACTGGAGAAGGTATCCAAGACAACTTCTCGCAATAGCATCATGGCACACAGCATTTTGCATGCTGTAGTGAGCTGCAGAGCCTTTCTGTATCCTGTCTGAGATGAGATACTCTTTGACCGAGTAATGTGCAAGTGCTACAATATGTTTTACTGGGTCTTGTGTTTCGCTCTCTTCCGTAGTTATGGTGACCATGCTAGAACAGATGTTCAACACATCCAGCGGATCTTCGAGAACCTCATCACGATCGAATGTGGCCTCATCATCCAAATTGATCGCAACGATTTCAGCGACTTCGTCTACTGATAGCGGCCGAGCTGCAAACGTCAGCCACTGTAGTATAACAATGGCGTATTGCGAATCCTCTTCGCTGATTGCAGATAGAATACGATCGTATGTCTTGTCTAGCGTCGGTGGAAGCGTTACAAGCGCTCTCCGTAGCGCTGCCCGAGTGCGACATTTCCCCAACGTGTCCAGCTGACAGACAGCCCATCGAAACCTGCAGGTGGCATTAGTCTTCGGTATTTACACAAACATGATGTGGTAAACGCACATTCCTTGCGATCCTTTTATGAGAGTAGTCTCGATTTCCTGTCTGACTGTAGGGTCTTTTCTCCACCGGCTGAAGTTCTCGTCGTTAGATAGTCGCTGCTGTACGTATTTCTGTATATCTTTGTCCACTCGCTTACTCTGGAGGCAGATATGACTCTGCTGGTGTATGAAAGTCTCTAAGGAACTCTGTATACCTCGTTCTTTGCGACTCGTTAGGAGTATATGTGTATTCTCAAGCTACCAGGCAGATACAGTCTTCAGGATGTACATTAGCTCCGCCCGCCCAGAACACTCGTCAAGCGCGTCAAATACTATGTAGACGGATGGGAACTCCCGCATCATATGCTGTAACGCCTCTAAGAGCGCGTGCAGGGAGGGCTGCCGCCGCCCATTATCGCAAGAAGAAAACAACGTATCAAGACTCGCGGGGATCATAACGCACTGTTGCGAAAGCTGGCAGATTACGGAGCGTAACATGAGCTCAGCACTTTGCTTCTGGATATCGTTGAAATCAAAGAAGAAGTATGCGACGACTCTGCCAGGATCACCTTCGCAGTGCTGAAGTACATTTTGGAGAATCGTTGAACCGAGGATAGTTTTACCACAACCTGGAATACCATGCAGCCAAAGGAACGATCCCATGCTTTTCTTCCACTCGGCATACTGATCACTCTCGAGAAACCAAAGCCCAGTATCGTCTTGGCGTTGCTTGAGTGCTTTTTGGTAGTTCGTGGAAGGATCTGGTGCAGCTAGCCACTCGCGTATCCTGACGAGTTTCGCATCTGCACATTACGATCAGTTGGAGTTACACGTGCCTCTTATCAGTCATTTACCTTTTAGCGGTTGTATGGCAGATGATGTGGCAGTGTGGTAGAATGTTAGCGTCGCAATGTAGTTTCGTAAGATTTTTGTAGTCTTTTCGACTTTGCCTTCTCGCTACAGACTTCCTATAGCCTTCTTACTCTTTGACAACCACTTGTCACCAGCAGTCGGCAGCGTCGTCGTAATGATGGCGTCTAGTTGCGCTATCTGTTCGCGGCACTCACTGACTACCAATAGCAGAGCAGCTTCGAGTTTGGAATCTGCTGGGTTCACCTTCAGATTTTGGCAAATGCTCTCTAGTGTGGTGCTTAAAACAGGCAGCTCAGAGCTGACATAGCGAAGGGACGTTGGCAGTTCTCCTGCAAGAGAATGGAACTCCTTGAGGCGAAGGATGACTTTGGCGCTGAAATCAACGAGCTGAACTATACTGGCGACAGCCCCAACAGCAGCAAGACCTTCAGCCATTTTTGCGCAGTCCGAGCCGTTCGCACGACCCCGGTGGGCCACGAGTAGTGCAAAGCTGAGGTACTTGCAAATGGAAACAATAAATTTAGGCAACTAATTTAACTCAAAAGGGGCCATGGGCTTGTATACGGGGATGTAGTTATTGGTGAAGAAAGCGACGATATTGACGAAGGCTGAAGCAAGGCTGAAGCAATAAGTATGCAAGCAGCTGTACCTCTTAGCGCCCACGTGGCGGACTCAATTGTATCAGGGCACGTGACAATTGCAACCATAATCGCCCTATATAGTCCTTGCGCTACGCATTTCCTAGAAACATTTCCGTTATAGAGCTATCGTACGTGCATTCGACAGGCGCACTGATTAGTACGGGCTCTGGTATAACAAGGCACGTGAGAGCATCTCTCCATATCGGGAGATTCAAAGCAGCTTACTTTCCTCCTCGGCGAAACCACATGTATGTATCCTTTTACGATCAGTATATGATCGAGAGGTAGGTAAGTACTCTTTGTTAGTAGCGCTTCTTTCCTAACCCTTCGGAACATCGGAAAGTTATCCCAGTCATAAGTAGACAGGAGAATGTAGTATAAGGCGGACTGTTGTCGACGTCAAACGATCGACAGCATGACCAACATTACAATAGTGATTTTCGGAGACTTGGTTCGGTACGAAGAAATACGGTAGAGATTTATGACGTTATCCAAAGCTTTGCATATGTATAAGTAGAAGCTTCGGGGAGTCTGGATTGGAAGCTGTCTCTGCGCAACGGGTGTCTCTCGACGCAGGGACGTACCTTACATTATCTCTGATAATCGTGAATGGTTTTCGGGGTTCGCGGCATGATACATCGGGTTCTGTCTATCTTAATAGACTTGAAAGCGGGGTACAACTCGACATACCGGGTTAGTGTCGACATCTTTGGCAGTGCCAAGCTGCTGTACCTTTGATAGAAGTCAACCTTTACCAAGCGTGAATATGACGTCGTATTCTTGACCCGCTAGTACGAGATGTTGAAGAAAAATGAATATCCGGAGGTGCTGTATAACGTACTTGCAAGCTAATCGTCATTTTCAATGGCATTGTGAACGGATTGATTCTGGACAAATAGTGACAAATGAGTTGCATATGTCTTTTGGTAAGAGCTTGTACTAAGAAGCCTTTTCGATCACTGTCGAGTTCGACTTCGATCGATAGACAGCATGGCTTGCAGAATATGGCAGGCTATGTTATGGCACTGCCGGGAGCTACCCTGTTTGGGTATAGCGCCTTGGCTGGGATCCTGTACTTAGCTCACCTCCGCAACTACCGGGATAGACAACACTTGTACCATATACTGTTCTAATACCTTGTCCCTTTTAGTGGTCGTCCTGGCCGTGACATTTAGTAGCTACTCCAGCTTCGATCTACATTGCGCAGTGCCCCCCCTCTTGACCTACATTGCGTAGTGTCGCCGAACGCATTACGCGATTGCTATCGAAACCGTGGCACCGTCGAGGTCCAGCCCGGATAACCAGCCCAAAGCAGGCCCTATTAGACTTATTTACTAAGAAAATTTATCTATCCCCTCTAACTACAGTGCAACCTGTCAACCTTAAGTTGATAGCACCCGGCACTCACGAACGCACGACTCTATGCTAGCTATTAGTTTATAAGAACTAAAGAACCTAGGCATCGACCCCTACAGCGATTCACACGAGCTACGAACATTATAACCTAGCAGCTCTAGACGCCGGCACACCCGAGCGTCTTCAGCTTCTTTAACCGCACTATCGAATCGTGTGGACAAGCGGAGTATCTAAAAGGGCAAGCGTAGTGCTGCTAAGCCCTAAGTAGTAGCATCTAACGCGCAAAACGCAAGCGTAGAGGAGGAACCCGAATCTATGACCCTAACAGAACCAGCCCCGCCTGCCTACATAGCTTCACTAATAAACGAAGAAGTGGCTAACTAGAACACACTAGAATATCCTACGGAACCGCGCTTACCCTAGCTAAGCTTAGCGGAAAAATTAGCAGCGGCAGCCCTCCGAGAAGGAACTGACTACGAAGATCATATATAGGAACTACTAGGGTCGTTCCTACGAGACTCGATATAAAGCCTGAGAGTCCCCTCTAACTTATATTAATAACTACTTTCCCCTATACCTACTACACCCCAACCCCCCTATTTAGACACTACCTTACGACCTACCCTACCCCATTCCCTCACATCGTCAGACACCTAGGCTCCTTTCCCAACCCTGGCACCACCCGCATCTGAACCTTCCCAGCCCCTAATACAGACCTAAAGTTTCACCTTCTAACCACCATCCCTCCGCTAGCCACGTAGCGTAGCCGCAGCCAACATGTCGAATAACCAGGGTCTAGCCAGACCAGACCTGGGCAGACCGGACCCGGGCAGTCCATACTCACTCAATAAGTACCGCAGGGACGCTATGATCCTGCTTAAACTTTATAAACGACAACAATAAGGAGAAAATATTCTAGAACTCGATTAGCTAGTCGTGTTCACGGAAACTAAGCTAGCCACTGCCTAGACCGTTCAACGAATAATGCGGCGGACGCACCAAGAAGAGGTTCAATAGCGCGCGAGAGAATACCTACGCGAGACGGAGATTATACTATATTTACTAGGTAAATAGCGTCTTCGGTTCAACACTAGGCCTAATAACGTAGATGAAGAAGATAAACCAGAACCCATCTAACCCCGACCCCCTCTAGTCGCTTCTTCACTTCGAAATGATCCCACTGCCCCCCCTTTCCCTAGACCCCAACCACCTATACCCCCTATGCCACAAAACCCATTTCCCTAGGCCCGCCCTAACGCAGCACGATACCCGATATCACCACCTTAGAGACGACATTAATTAGAAGAAATAGAAGAGGTACGCCAACACTTTTCTCCACCCGGGCGAACAGTAACACGACAACAACTAATAGACCACACGCAATACGTCCTACCGGCACGATAGATGAGCATGCCTAGATCGCACTGGAGAAGCCGCAATCACCAAAGGAGCCCGTCAGACCCATCAAGCTCTAACTCTGGGAGCGACAGATCCCGTCAAGGACATAGGTACGGGAGCCGACGGCACAGACGACTACAGGCACAACTAGACCTCAATATATTCAACCAGCGACGCCTTAAACCAGAGGAGATAGGCATGTTTGATGGCTAAAATATGAGCGTGCACCTCTACGTCTGTCAGATCCAGCACCGAGTTAGATTGTACGGATACTAGTGAGTGTTAGAAGTCTTACTATTATGTATAAAGGGCGACGCTATAGACTAGTACATATCACTGTCCGACAGCTAACTTAGTCGCATGACGACCGATATTGACGAATAGATCATCGCACTACGTTATCGCTTCTAAAAAGACGCGATACTCGCGGAGGACGAAGCTAACTAATGTAAACATTTATTTAAACACGAGTTATTTAACGTCTATTAATATATTACGCGTAAATAGATATTGCTATACGACGCTAGTTTTAAGGGATAAGACGAACTCCTCCTTATCTAGAAGATCTAGCGCGACCTCGACCTCACGCTCTAAAACGTGGTCACCATCGACCTATACATAACGATAGAAGATTTTATCAGCCTCTGCTACCAGAAGGAGTACTCCGTACGGCGCATGTTCAAGCAACAGCAACGATAGGCGAATGGTTAGTTGCGAGTGGCTGCATAAGAGTTTACACGCTAACGACAAGACTAGCCCTTAACCTACCGCCCCGCTCTACAACCTCGAACCACTAACACGAAGGCACTACCAGAACCTCCCCAACCCGCACTCAAGGCGATGGCGGGCAACCGCATAGATCGGCCGCTGGCATATCTATGCCGACATTACGGCGGAAAACACAAGGATTTCGAGTGCCTAGACAGACCTCCACGACCTAGATCGTATAGCCAGAAGCGCGTTGCATTTATAATGGATTTGCTAGACCAGTATAACGACTATAAGTTTTCTAATGAAAACCTCCTCGACGTTCACGGCGAAGACGAGGCTCTGCGAAGCGACGAGCAAGACGTCGACATAGACCACAAAACAGAAAACGAATAGCGGAGCCACAGAAGGACGGCTGCGACTCCGGCTCAAAACAGGATATCGCCGTCCATCAATCGCCACCACCACCGGCGGAGTCAACGACGCAGAATATCGATAATAAAGACACAATTACTGACACGGGGATCTCCAATATCACCTTACCGCCCACGCCCGCCTCTATACTTATAACCACCCTCTAACATGAACGGCCTACGAAGGCATATATAGAAGCCGCAGATCTTATACCTATTAACTTTATGCTAGACATAGGCGCAGGAATTTCGCTTATTAGACATAATTATCTACAACATTATTTACGGGTCACAGTAGAGCAACTTAATAATAAGGAACGCATGCGAATAGATGGCGTTAGTTTAATAGCAATTATTGCGGATAAAGTTATTACAGAATTTCCTTTTACTATACAAGTAGTAGACGGCGAGAAGATCAGAATATACAGCTAGGTCTACGTCGTCGATAAATTACTAGTTCCATACATCATCAGTAACAATATACTTAAGCCCAACAGGATCAATATTATGTATGCCGACGTGCCCGGCAATTACCTAGCACTGCTTATTTACGGGTATTATATTAAGCTTCATACTACCCCTACCCCAAAACGCAAGCGCACAATACTCAGAGCGCGCTGCAACACGATCATCCCCGCGGGTACTGGCGCATCTATGGCGGTACGCAGACGACCTCTGCCATAGACCCCGTTTAGTTATATCCTCATCTCTAGCCCGATCTCTAAACCCTCTACCAACACTTTTGCTTCTATAGGTAATTAATTTATAAATAGTGACAAAAGCCACGTTACGTTCGTAAACCTTAGCGCGACTAATATAAAAATATAACGCGGATAATAATTAGGATACCTTAAGATAGCTAATGCACCTAATCGTAAGGCAGACATCTATTTCTCGTTAGACCACCTTTTCCAGAGTTTGCCTATACCAACCGAAGACGAGGAACCTAATGATCTACCAGCGGGAGCCCCATTCATCGTCGAACCACCCGACGACGATACAGAGATACAGCGAGCAGACGTTAGTAAGGAATAGGGACCCAATTACGAGAAATAAGTGCGGCACGTGGTCTATAAGCATTTAAAGCTCTTCTGAAAAGAATTAGGACGTTTTAACAACGGGATTAAAATGCCTATCCCTTTCTATAATAACTACGATCTATCTAAGCTTAAATAAGCACCGTACTCTTAATTATTGCGCGATGAAAAGGCTATTAATAAGGTGCTTAATCTATTGCGAGAATAAGGACGGATAACTTGAGTGCCCCTAGGACGACCAAGCCTAGTATTAGCACCCGCCTTCGTGGTATAGAAGAACGACAAACCGAGAGTCGTTGTCGACATACGCAAAGTCAATAAGGCGCTTATCCTAGACGCGTACCCGCTACCTAAACAAGATACGATCTTGTCAGCCATAGGAGGCGCAACGGTGTTTTTATCACTTAATTTCGTCAAGAGTTTCTTCTAATAAGACATAGCGGAGGAAGACTAATAGAAAACCGTATTCGTCACTGCTCACCGTGGACATGAGATGTTTATAGTGTCAACTATAGGGCTTACTAACTCCCCTAGTTTCTTTCAGCATCGCATAGAAAGACTCTTCGAATCCTATCTATAGGAGTTCATCCTAGTCTATATTGACGACATTATCATTTTTAGTCGCACCCTAGAAGATTATCTTACATATCTTGACTAGGCACTCACCCTGCTAGAAAACGCGGGAGTTATATTATCCATTGCTAAGTGTCACTTCGCCTATCCATCTATCTAAGCACTAGGCCACCACGTGTCCAGACTCGGCCTTAGCATAGTCAAAGAGAAGATAGAAGCAATTAGGGCTATAGTGTTTCTAAAAACCCTACTATAACTTAAATATGCTATTAGGTTCTTTAGCTATTATAGATAATTCGTGCCGCATTACGCGCATATATCGAACCCGTTAATATAGCTTAAGATAAGAGGCTTTAAAGGCGATACGTACAAGAAGGGATACAGCCGCAAAAAATATGCGATAATAAAAATAACAGCTGAGTTCATAGATAGCTAATAACGCGCGGAGTGCGAGGCTGCTTTTGAGAAGCTTAAGTCAGCCCTATATAACGCACCTACGCGAGCACATCCTAATTTCAGCAGACCTTTTATTTTCTACGTCGATAGCAGCCGCGAAAAAGGTTTTGGATGCGCGGTTCACTAGCTAGATATTACAGACCCAAACAAGCCAGTTGAACGTCCAATACTATACCTATTAAAAACGTTGTCACCGTCCGAGAGCAGATACTGGCCAATAGAGCTGGAAACAGCAGCGCTCGTCTAGGCCCTACGAAAATTACCCCAGTATACGGATCATGAGAAGTTTACGGTATACACTAACTACACTGCTTTAGTCAACGCCTTTAAGGACGAAGGGACAATAAAGGGCAAGCGATCCGAACGACTACAATAATGGAGACTATTCCTGGCACGATTCCACAGCAAGATAGAAGTCAAACACATCCCTAGCAAAGAACATCTCAATGCCGATAGACTATTACGACTACAGACAGAAGCGGACACTCTAGAAGTCCTGAACGCGTCACCCGCCGTACTTCTCACCCGAACAGGAAATAGACTGCTAATAACCCTAATGAGCTTATAAGCCGCCCGCCGCGACGTTATCTACTATAACCACTCTTTCGCTTTCCCCCTTAATGCTACATACAAAGCCAACCTCCTATAAATTAATAACGCCTTTCGAGACCGCATTATTAAAGCATTACTAACCAACCCTACACTTAAGAAGGTCTACAACGAAATAAAAGAACGCGTCGAACAGAACAAAGTAGACGGCAAATTTCCTAACACTACTAGAGAGACGTTTAGACTAGACACGGACACAGGGCTGCTATACCAAACCGCACCCGATAGACAAGAACGTTTGTGTGTACCGGCGGCCCTACATCAAGAGGTGATGCAACCCGCGCATGACCGACTCGGACATCCAGGGCGTACGCGCACCTATAAAAGGATACGTGCTTTACTATATATTCCCTATCTACGCAAGCTAGCAGCCACCTATATCGCAGCTTGCCCTATGTACAACGTCGCGCGACTATCAACGCTAAAACCCGCCAGCAGACTACAACCAATTGACACGCTGTTTATTCCCTTTTTCACTATTTCAATAGACTTTATCGTTGGACTGCTAGTTACCCCTAATAGTTTCGATACTATTCTCACAATCACCAACAAAGCTACAAAGGCGGTGAAGTTAATTCTAGAAAAAACTAACGGTGACGCACTATACTAGGCTATCCGATTTTAGGACTACGTAGTCTGCGACTAGGGACTGCCAAAAGCCATCATCTCTAACCGCGACGGACGTTTCTTGTCCACATTCTAGCAAGCATTATTCAAGAAAATGGGCATAACACTCGCCATGACCACGGCGTACCACCCGTAAGCCGACAGACAAAGTAAGAGGACAAATTAAATCATTAAGATCCTGCTCCGCTGCATAATTGCAAACCATAATGCACTAATAGTTAGCTAGAACGAACTACTACCTAACGTACAGTTCGCTATCAATACTTCGCGCAACTTTACCACAGGTGAGACACCGTTCAAGATCCTATATAGTGTCCACCCACGCGACGGAACCAACGTCCATCAGATAAATACGGGACACGAGTCAGCTAAGCAATTCTATCGCGACCGAAGAGATATTAGAAATGAAGCAGAAGAAGCCCTTAAACTCGCGCAGGCAAAAATGGCCATATACTATGACCAGAAGCACTCACCAATTAATATTAGAGACATAGTCTACCTCTGGGTAACGCGAAAACTAAACAAGGGCTATCGCATACCCCACTCCTCTACTCTCAATGTTATTAAAACCGGCCTATTCAAAGTACTAGAACGAATTGGCAAAGGCGCCGTCCGACTCGACCTGCCAGCTCATATAAAGATCCACCTAGTAGTCTCTATAGTCCATCTATCACCGGCACAGACCGACCCGTATGGACGAGCCCTAGTCACCGTGGGCCGAGTCACTGAGGCTGCGGAAGACGTCTCAGTCGCAGACGTGCCAGAGCTGACAACTACTCCCGCAGTTGACGCACCTCCGGCCCTGCCCACTGCCCCCGGTGAAGCGCAACGATACATCGTCGACCGCATCCTCACCAAGGAGCTACGACGCAAGCTAGGCACGAAGTAGAAATAATAGTAATATAAAGTTAGATAGCAAGGCTACGATGCGTCTGAAGATTCCTTTGTCCTAGAATTACAACTCCGCCAAGATGTCCCTGAGATAGTCGACGCGTGGGAACAGCGTTACGGCACCCAACGCCGGACGCGTTCTAACGCAAAGACTAACTAAGGACGACCGCTGCAACCCCAGTAACTACTTAGATAGGATGGCTCTAACACAGTTGTCGACTGGAGGCTGCGTTGGCTGTCAAGGCTGACGCGCCCTTAATCGATAACTGCACAAGAGTCCCTATCTAAGGATAAGTTTTCTACGCCACCATGCGAGCGTATAGCCTAAAGCCGGCCCTATTCAGACCATACTCTTTATTACGTCAATATTAACTTATTCTTTCTACTAAGAAGCGCAGTCACAGCAAAAAATAACAGGTGAAAGTGAGAGCAAACGCGCCAAGCCAAGCGACTGCCTATATTAAAAACTCTCACCTATAATTAATTTTACCTCTCTATACTTACACACTCTTATACCCCTATATACCTATACACCTTTATATACTAATCCTAAATCTTATAAAGCATTTCTGCTTATCCCCTACTCACTATCCCACTCTATATCTCACACCGTAACGATGAACCTAGATATTCTTAAAGAACGCATTAGTATTAACTATGTAATTAAGATAGCTCACGTCAAGCTGCACGACTTTAAGGGCAAGGCCTCTATCTATCTAATAATAGAGAAGTACTACGTATCCGCTGACGAAGACGGCGATGAAGATGAGCCTAACATTAACGAGCTAGACGCTGAGCAAGACGACGCAGAGCCCCGCAACACTAAGAATAAGAGTAAGGCTAAGCTAAAGTATAAATTTAGTAAAGCTAAGCCCTCTAAGTTCCGCAACAACCTTACGCATGCAATAACTGCCTACTTCGTACCTACGCAGGTTGAGGGCTTAATTACGGCTAGAGAGATTAAGTTGATAGACATGAACATCGCACCCCTTATCATGACTACTAAGGAACGCGAAGAATATGCCGAAGACTTGCCGTTTATCAGCCCTACTAATAAGTTATTAGAATTTAAGAACGACATAAAGGAGCCTAAAACTCCTACACTACTAAAGTTAAAGCGCAGCTATTAATGTATAAAGAAGCGCGAGGCTAAGTAGCAAGACGAGCAAAAGGCTAAACCCCTTCATCTTAATAACACCAAGCCTAACACCACCGTCGTGCACCAGCTGCTGGCCCTGAAGCACCCTTACCTTAAGACTCTGGCTAACGATCTCGAGCAAGCCGCGCACGAAGCCAGAGCCAGAGGCATCCCCGTCTAGGAGCAGGTTCTGAACACTCCCAAGCTTAGTGGTGGTCGCCCCTATTCTAAGTCTCTCCTAACCTACCGTGACAACACTACGCGGGAGCTCGATAAGAACGCAATTACTGCTAACCTCCGCGAGACCGCCGACGAGCACGTCGCGCTGTTGAGACTACAGCTTAGAGCAAACATGCGCCCTATAGGTGATCAGATTATGGCCCAACTATACCACTTCCTGTCCAAGCGTCCACACTGCCGCGACGAGAACGGCCACCTACGCGCCGACAAGGTCCAGCTATTCCTCGAATAGATGCGTTACACTCACCACTAGATAACGACAGTTAATGCTATTAAGCAAGTTATACACTACAAGTTCCTCAAGGTAACGATAGGCCTACTTACAGTCGAGAGTGCACACTACCTAATAGAAGAAGCAGACATCGCACACTAGGAGTCGCTTAAAGCCCTCCCTGTCAAGGGTCGAGAGCAAAAAAGAAGCATGGCGACATGACCCCCGCCGAGGTGATAGCCGACAGACTCGCGAGGCTCGAGGCGAAAGCTAACGCGAGGAACTATATTGCGCCGCTAGAGCGAAACATCTGCAAGGTCTCTAAGGAGCCAGAGCAGTTTATGCAGAATTAGGATGACCACGTACTCCTCTAGATTGTCGAACAAGCCAAGAATCGATCCTTCGCTCGACTAAGGCACACCATTAACTACCTTAACAACGCCCTACCTAATAAATAGCTAAGCTATAAGGCCTATATTGACCTCACGTACGCGAACACCTGCGGCCTACGTTCATAAGGATAGCGAGACATCGAATACGTGCCCACCCATCATGTCGTCGACATTACTGACCCGAAATGGCACCTAGCATTAGTAAAGATCTTCCCCCAGACAAAGTCCATCGAGGACTATTAGAAGGGTATACATGCTAGACTAGTAATGTCAGATTATAAGCTATTCCTTATTACTATTAAGTACAATAAGAAGCATTGTACTAGTAACGTGTCTGCGCACCGAGAAGATGTACTAGACCTAGTAAAAGATCTGCGCATCGTCACGCGTTCATCACCAGTCATTTTCATGCTGGTCCGATCACATAATATCGATGAGCTCATAGAGGGACTTATCAAGCGTTTCCATGACCTTACCCGTAATAACCCAGCCCTTAAGTTCTATAAGTCGATTAATAACCTATTACTGTCGAACACGGGCGTATATAAGACGTCGCAACTTCTGAAGTTCACCGCGTTGCCTTAGATACACTTCGGCAGCTAGGAGGAATTATAATATAAAGCTGGTATCGCTGCACTCATCGAACAGCGTTTCTAGATAGGAAACCAAGAGTACGACGCGAGGGCCGCTGTGATCCCGGTGCTAGGATCCCTTAACCGCGATGCGAACCTCTTTATGGCATACCTCCTGCAAGTCTCTGTGCGACACGATACAAACAAGCCCCAACTCATGCCTAGAGATCACGTCACCATCGACATAAACCCTGACGCAGACGCGCAGGCCATTAATAAAGAAGTCTAGCGTGGCAGGGTCATAGAACTAACTAAGGCTATAGCTATAGGCATAATTAACATTATCGTCAAGCGACTATTAAAGAAGGGCACTATTACAGACAAGACAGAGTATAGTAAACTCTTAATAGCGCGCCTAAAGCAGATAGACGCTAAAGACCTCCTGACATAGACGCAGAGGAACTACAAGACGAACATCGTCATCTATGCCAAGAATGACGACAAGGAATGCAAGCGACTGATAGGGAACCTCACGAGGATGACGCTCTCTAAAGGTTAATAAGCAAGCTATCTAGAAAAAGCTTGTTGCCTTAACGCCGCACGACAAATGCTGATCTGCACCGACCACATAAAGGCTAAAGCCACAGCCCTATATAACGATATCGAAGCTCAACACCGATAGACGGCCATTAACTTTATTACTAAGATGCTCCGCCCACACCAGCAAGAGGAATTCAAGCGTTAGGTCAAGAACGGCGTATACAACCGTACCATCTAGCTCACTAGACTATCAGGCTTAGGAAAGACATACCTAGCTATGGCCACTATGCTCCTATACCTTAGTGACGTAGAGGTACTAGAGGAGCTTATTAATATCTTAAGCTATGAATAAAAAGTGCACTTCCAAAAGTAAGCCGTCTCTAAAGCTAAGAAGAAGGTATAGAAGGAGAAGGAAGCTGTAAAGCCTGCCGCTAATGCGAAGCAGATCACCGCCAATATAATAAAGGCAGCAGCAAAAGATAAGACTAAGAAGAAGGAGCAAGATCTAGAGGTCTAGAAAGCCATCGATCAATACAAGGCAGCTAGAGACAACATAGCACCCCCTAAAGCGCCACAAGATATTATTGTCGAATGAGGCCGAATCACGATTGCAGCCCTACAAAACGACGCCGTTGACTCGCAATATGTACTCATATCAGCTATAGCAAAGGCATACTGCCAACAGATAGGATTACTAACCCCTCTAGTATTGCGTCTGCACAGCAAAGAATCCGAGCTCAAAGCAGTCGCGGCGATGTCTCACCCAAACTACAACCCAGCTATAGAAGTATCCCGCGCAGCCATCGATCCATCAGTCAAGATCACGGAGGACCTGCTAAACAGCCTGCTGTCTAACTACTTGGCAGCCTTCCGTGGAGGATACCCAGGCATCGCGGACCAACGTTTCAAGCATATCGAAGGGTCGGCGGCTCAGTATATCCTAGAACTCGCACAATTCCCCATATTTAATACATCACAAGAGCTACTCGACGCCTTCTCAGATAAAGAGCGTAGGGCATAGGCTATAGAGTTAAAGCCTCTCCTCGACGCATATTCGGAACTAAGCAACAAGAAAGGCAAGTCAAGCAAGGAGATCAAGAACAAGATTGCTACGGCAGCAAAGACAGGCCTAAACGTCCTCCTTAAACGCGCCAACGTGATCTGCACCACAGTCTCAGTCGCAACACAGGTATCATTCAATATAACGCGTCGCACACACGTGATCGCGCTAGAGAAAGCTGGACGCGCCAACGACGCTAAGACTATCGGCCTCTTCTCTCATTACTAGCACGCGAGTCTACGCCTAATTAGCGGCGCAGTGAATCAGCTCCGTCCCGCCGCCTTCAGAGACGAAAAGCAGAACCCGTTCTCCAAACTCCTTACCGTCCCCACCATCGCACGTATCTAAGCAACGGGTGGTGTCGTGAGTTAGCTAGAAGCATCATCCCGTTTCTATAATAAAGCCTTATTCCAACTCTGCGCTCACGTTAACGACATGCTAGGCATAAAACTAGTGTAGGGAGCGTTTGACGCAGAACTATCAGAGAAGTATGCCGAGATCAACAAGAAGATCTAGGGTATCAAATCCAACCTAATCTTCCTTAATACCAAGAGTATTACGACGTAGTAAGATGCCAATCGCTCTACGTACTATAGAGAGACTGCCGCGGTCGCAATCCAGAACGCGATCAACCGCATAACATACATGGACGGCGAAGACCACGTCATCATCACTCCATACAACGCGCAGGTGATAATGCTGCGACGCTAACAAGACCACGCAGTGATAATGGCGCACGCGACTCGCAAGAGTATACTCGCAAAGAAGCTGCTAGATATTAAGATCGTGACGATCGACTCGTTCATGGGCAAGGATTGCGCATCTGTCACGGTCGACACCGTAGGAGCTATCGGACACCTGTTTGAATTCGGGAGGACCGTCGTCGCCACCACGCGGGCTCGCACCTCATGCCAGCTGGTCGGACCAACCACCAAATATACCGCCCCCAACTCAAACGTTAAGCAGTCCCACCCTTTAACACAGGTTATCTATCGCATGAATAAGCAAAAGTAGATTAGACTCCTGGAACTCACAGAGATCTAAGGCATAGCACTATACTAAACCGCCATAAAAGCCGCAGGCCTAGGCGAAGAAGGCGAAGCATAAGTATACGTAAAGGTATCTATAGTTGCTAACGTCCTCTACGCGGAAGCGGACTATAACGCAGTTAACCTAGAGATCGTCGCGCGCATGAAAGAGATCAAACCCGACTTAAATATCTTCACTAAGTTAGGCGCTACCACCAGCGACGAAGAAGCTAATACCATATGGGGCAATGCGCAGGCCGATAAGGACAAGGACAGCGACGATAATAACGCCGACACCTAGGGTGATGAGCAGGACAATACCGACACCTGGGACAATGCGGAAGCCGATACTAATACTTAGAGTGACCAGCAGGCCGACGCCGATAAGACCGTATTATCACCTAAGTCGCCTTTCCTCCCCTATGATATGTCGAGCGATGGCCCTACCTACAGCCTAAATTGGATCTTGTCTCTGCAATCTGCAACGGAATTCGGCTTAGGTCTTACGCCCTTAATAAAGGCGACTAACCGTGACCTATTCGATAACGACGGTTTTAACTCGAAAGCTTTCGCGGACACCCTTAATAATACTAACGACGAGGATATGCCAGAAGATGCACACTTCTACGCAGACTGGCCACTTAACAGCCTATATAAGGAGGGCAAGCGCGAGCGGCTCCTTAATATGCGAATCGTGGATGTAATCGAAGCACACGATAACAGTATATTACCTAAGAACCTCCTAGCTAAAGCATAGGAGACTCTTAACGAATAAGAACGCTACGCCCTTATCTAGTTAGCCTAATATAGCAATATTAGTACGAAGATGGCCGCTAAAGTCCTGTCGGCCTAAGGCAACTATCTTACCGCCCTTAAGCACCTGCTAGTGGTGTGCGCCGCCCTAGCTAACCTATGCAACGGCGAAGAACTTACATAGAAGTACTATTAAGTACAGACGGAAGAACGCTTTAACGAACTTCGTGACGAGTATAAACGCACTCTCGCTCTTATGCGAAACCTATACAGCATATACACTACTACTAGCGATCTAGATGCCGCTTATTAAATAATCCCTAATAACTCTTATAAGAGTAATAAAGAGGTCGCAGCCGCCGCCGACGAAGACTAATCGAAGCGTAACGACGTCGACTTCTACGAATAAGAGGGTAGCGAGCCTAAAAAGGAGGAGGAGGATTTAGACAACGAACTATACTAGGACGCATAAAGTATGCTAGGGCATATAAAGGATTGTATAGAGAAGGTATAAGGACATATGAGGATAAGGCACAAAGGCGGGGTAAGGGGAGTAGGAGTTATATGAGGTTTT